TTTTTGTGGGTGAACCCAGTAAGATTGTATTCCTCATATAAGATGTTATATCCCAGAAGGAGGATTTACTCTATATTGGGACTATAGGTATCCCCAAATAAAATACTACTCACGTAAGCTACAGTCATTATTTCCTACAGAATTCGTTGGACAAGGGCTTCTTATCAGGGACTATATGAGCTACAGTCTAAACTCCTAGTATCCCGCTCAATAACCCCTATGGCACTATGGTAGTCCCCTACATAATCCCCTACATAACCCCCATAAAGGAGGATTATGGGTCATGTTAGGGACTATACTACACTACAAGAAGGACCCCTATGTTCACAGTAAGTAAGGGCCCCTTAATACGGCTAATATTCACAGCAACTCAAACCCTAAAACCCTAACGACCCTAAAGACCCTAGAACCCTAAACCCTAATACCTAAAAACCCTAAAATCGTAAACCCTAAAACCGTCAACCCTAAACCCTAAAATCCTAAACCCTAAAACCCCAACGATTTGACCAACTGGCCAACCAGCATCAAGGTCCGTCCTCTTGTCGAAGGCCGAATTGGCAAGCTGACATGAGTTAGAGTGACCCCCCTTTAAGTAAATAGAATATGGGTTTTATTGGGGTTATATAAGGATAATGGAAAAGAAAATTAAACTACTATATTACAATAGGGTAGATATTGGGGTTATAGTCCCACTCAGGTAGATAGAATATCAGGGTATAGTTTGGGTACTGCCCCCCCTCAGTAACAGTTGGATAATACTTATAATATGGTTAGATATAGCCCTTAATAGACCGGGGGGGCAGTACCCAAGGTATAGTATACCCCAAATCCTAGTTTTAGGGTTTAGGGTTTAGGGTTTTAGGTAGTGTGTCCCCCTTAGAGAATATCAGGGTATAGTATACCCTGAACTCTAGTATAGGGTTTAGGGTTTATAGTCTAAACTCCTAGCATCCTCCTTCATAACCCCTAGTATACGGCCTTTTTTGCATCTCCTATAGGGCTTAGGGTTTATAATCTAAACTCCTAGTATTCCCTTTGATATCCCCTGTAGTAGTCCTCTATATAAGCCCCTTTAAGGAGTTCAGGCTACAGTGCACTTCCGAGGCGAGCGAAAGCTTGTCACACTTCAGTACAGAAGAAACGAGGAATGCCAAGCATGATCTGGTCGTTTCCTAAAATTAGAGGCACAGTTGTGGCAGTGCCCATAGTAAGGACTGTAGTATTTCCGGGGTCTATTTGGGGATACCCTATTTATATTCTTCGTACCTAAACCATGCAAGTACAAAGGGATGTTTGTCGCAACCACCTAGCGAGAATAATGGCCACTCAAAGGTAAGGACCGGAGTAAGTGTAAGTAAGCCTGCTAGCTTTCGCAACATGAGCTAGTCTAAACCCCTAGTATCCCCCTTAATAACCTTTATACATAATTCCCTAAACAATCCCCTTTAAGGAGTTTAGGCTATGGCTCACATGGGTGGGATGCTGTGCTGCCTGCGGGCTTTGTTCGGATCCGTGCGGGGAGGAGTCCGCAAACTCAGCGCACAGGCTCAGACGCGTGCAGAAAATAGCTACAGCCCTGCTGGTCGCTTGCAAAGGAGCAAGCCTGCAGCGCATGAAGTACCACAAGTACCCTGTCTTCAAGCAGCAGGTATGGCATCAAGCTTCTGGCAACCCAACCTGCTTTCTTTCTACTGCTGCACTTCACTGGCTGTCGATTGTCAAGCTGTTTGTTTCGGCGAGGTCCAAAGCTAAGCCTCCAACAGCTGCCAAGTGCTCACCCACTTGCTGGCCTGGCGCATCCTCTGAACATTAATGTAGCAGTCTAGACCATAATGTACTACAATATACCATATTCTGCTATAATATATAACAATGGACCATAATCTACTATAACATACCATACTATGCCATAATATACCATAATATGCTATATTCTTCTGCTATAATATATTATAATATCCCATAATATACCATATTATGCTATAATATACCCTGATATACCAGAATATACTATAATCTTATCTACTCAGCAGGATGCAGAATGGCACAAAATTGCATCAAGGCCACGGGGCAGGCGCTGCAGCAGCTGCTCCACGAAGGCATCCTGCCAGCGTAAAACCCTCCCCGGGAGCTCATAGGGATTAAGGTTTTAGGGTTTAGGGTTTAGGTATTGGGGTTATATAGGGATACTGGAAAAGAAAGTGGAAACTACTATCTTATAGTAGGTTATATGTTGGGGTTATAGTCCCTTTAAGTAGATAGAATATGGGGTATATGGGGATCTTATTATGAGAGACCCAAAGCCATATTCTATCTACTTAAGGGGGACGATACCTCACTTGAAGTCTTCAAGCTTGAAGTCTATAACAGGCGCTATATATACACCCCATTATGACATAGTAGTTTACATCAAAAGGGTCTGGGGTTTAGAGTTTCGGGTTTAGGAAAAGAAAATGCAAAACGAAACGAACGCTAGGATTTTATAGGGGCTTATGGGGTTTTACTAGTTTCCCGAAATACATAGGAGAAACCACACTGGAGGACCTCACATTACTGTTATCATTATCATGGGGACTGACAAAACTGCCTAATTTTGGGAAATCCCCGCTTGAGTAGTGTTTTTTTGGTGGTTGAACCAAGCCAGATTATATCCTCATATAAAATACTATACCCCAAAAGGATAATACAATCTTATTCTATATTGGGTACCATGGTATCCCCAAATAAAATACTACTCATCTGGGCCGTCCCCTGTCATGTAGACCCACAATTAATAAAAACCCCTCTTTTTAAGGGCCTAAATATTAGGATCCCTATAATCATCCCTATTAAGAATAAAACCCCTCCTTTTAAGGGCCTACATATTAGGATCCCTATTATAATCCCTATTAAGGGGAAGGGGGTTATTAATCTGCCTGATTTTGGGAAATCCACACTTCAAGTCTTCAAGTGTCTCATGGGGCCTGCTCTGCCTGTCGCTGCGCAAGGAAGCCCGACCACTCCTTCCGGGAGCAACCGTTCAATCAGTTTGGCCCATGCCTGGGTTGGCCCCTGAGGCCCTTTGAAAAATATTAGTATATAGGGTCCCGTATTAAAGCCACTAGGGAAAATATTAAATATTTCACTCATATACTATAGCAGTTTCCATTTTATTTTCCCTTATCCCTATATAACCCCAATAAATACCCTATTATACTATAGTAGTTTCCATTTTCTTTTCCATTATCCCAAGACTACCCCAATATACTCTAGTAGTTTCCATTTTCCTTTCCATGATCCCAAGACTACCCCAATATATACACCATTTTACTATAGTAGTTTCCATTTCCTTTCCATTATCCCAAGACTACCCCAATATACTATAGCAGTTTCCATTTTCTTTTCCATTATCCCGAGACTGCCCCAAAATACTGTAGTAGTTTCCATTTTCTTTTCCATTATCCCAAGACTACCCCA